GGCCGAACCAGCCATAAGCACGGCGCATGGGCCGAGGGAGGAATAGAGGAGGCCCGATAAGACGCCGACGTTGGCCCCGATGTCTTTGAAGAAAGCGACGGAGTCGAGGGTGGATTGGGAGTAGGATTGAGAGGATTTGAGGAGAGGGGAGTAGATGGAGAAGCAGTAGGAGGCGCCGCTCGCGGATTGGATCCATGTGGTTGCCAAGATTGAGGCCCACTTGGTTTTGATGGGTCGATGACGGCGGGGTGAGGATGGTGATGACGAGGCCATTTTTTTTGGGGTTCTTCTGTTGGATTTTTTATCGTTTGTTTTTCTTCTGATCAAAGAGAAAACCTCTCTCTTTTTTTTTGGTTGGATTTTACGGAGTATTGTGGAGTGATGAACTGGTAGTGGAAAAGTTTTGAAGCGGAGGCGTGGCGATGTTTATTAAAGCCTTTTGAGACGGGTAGGCGACAGGTCAGAGACGGATATTAGTTGAATATTCTTCGCTGGACCAGATTGATTTCCTTTTTTAATTATCGTCTAGCTGTCAGAAATAAGTACATAGAATACATTTTGTTTAAAAACTGTACTTAAAAAGGAAATATATATAGACAAAAATTAGAACTTTGAGAAAGAACAATTTTTTCGAAACGGCTCCATTTTAATTTTTTTTAAAAATTGATCGTTTTTTTTATTTACCAAAACCGACCCGTTTTTTGTCACGTCAGCCTAATCACTTTCCTAAACAGTCAGGGTTGCCAACCCTGACTATTTAGGACATGATTTTTTAGGGTTTAAGGCTTCTAATTAGGGTTTAACACCCTCCTAAATAGTCGGGGTTGGCAACCCCGACTGTTTAGAAAAGTGATTAAGCTGACGTGGCACAAAACGGGTCGTTTTTGATAAATAAAAAAAATCGGTCGATTTAAAAAAAATTGAAACGGGGCTGTTTTGAAAAATTCTTCACTTTGAAAAGTTTTAAAAATTTAATCCCGACATGCTTATATTTTAAAGATACTATTTTTTTTAACGGGGGGTCACCCTTTTTGCACTAAATTCTCTCCTCCTTTTCTTTCTCATCTCCTAACGACCGACTGTCCATGGATATTCATTAGAAAAACCCCTTTATCTTATTTCTTCTCAATCTTATGAATGCAAAGTAATAAGGTAAACTAGTGAGGAACCCCCTTTAAATTTGCCCTCTTATTAGAAAACCCCTAGCTTCATTATTATTATTTATTACGAAACCCCTTTACATTTTAATAGACGGTGAAGGGTCGTTTAGCAATCACTTGCATGGCTGTATCTCAAAACTATCCTATTCGTCTTAACTTCTGGATATAGTTTAATTTCCTCCCTTTTCATTATGCGGCAGTTTACTCTCATTTCACCGAAAGTCGTTATTCTAAATGAAATCCTTTATTGCCTCTATCAAAGTCTTGATCTCTTCGGAACTCGTTATTCATGATATGATCAAGCTCAATCCTTTGATGCCCGATAACAGGCATTATTTAGTGAAACGAGAGAGAATTTTGAGCTGGTCTTTCTCTACGGAAGAATAATGAAAGCTTGATATGCATCAACAACCGTGAACTTCTATGAAAGGGCACCAATGCTCAGTCAAATAGAAATAACGTTCCAACATTATGTATTTTGTTTCCTTCTTCATTGAACTTAAGCACCCATTATATATAATCTAAACAAAAAAAACTGAAGCATCCGTTTTAATTTTGATTTTCACAGAGGGGAAGTGATACATGAAGAGAAGAGAAAGGGAGAACCTAGAATGAATTTAGTAATTATATGTCATCAAGAGAAAGAAGAGTACAATAATGCATGTGGCTCGCACATACTACAATGGGCCAAGCCAATACTTGAGACAATGTAAGCTTGTAGAGAGAGCGTGACGAATAATCAAAGCTTAAAATATGGCCAATTTGTGTGGCCGCGACAAAACTGCATCCCTCAAGTACGTCACGATATGATAGATTTTTCGTTGCAACCAAATGTGGATGAAAAATCTGCAAACCAAAAGTGCGGAACCGACGAGTACAATTTACAATTAACGAAAATTTTAAGGGAAAATGATGCCGGACAAAACTGTAGATGGCGCTGAATTTGCAAGTATTGTGTGTTGCTGTTCTGAACCTAGTTACCTGCCAAAGAGGATAAAAATACCACGAAAGAATGTTAGTCCAGAATTGATTAGGGGATGTCAAACATTTCCGATTTCTGTAAGCTGTATGCACGTGTGCTTGTATCAGGATACAAGGATTAACTATAGAAATCCGACAACACGTACATCCGTATTTGAATGACTGAAGAGAGAACCATAATGAATAAATCACATTCTGAAATTAACTTACGAAACTATATATTGAGCATAAGCCTGATATAATCTAAATGGCCATTCATACCAAATTGTCGTCGGATTCGATGAGCAGATTCAAGAATATTCATTTCTGGTCAGAATCACCACTTTTGAGTGCCACTCCTCCACCCGTGCAAATACAGAATTCATTTATGACCTGAATATATGAGAAATGAAATTCTTTTGTCACGTCCCAGAAATTACACAAAGAAATATAGTTTAATGTGTAGAATCAAACCAATCCCAGAATTACTAAGCCATGAATACGAGCCAACAATTTCCCACTTCCTAGATGTAAAATGTAGTGAAATATCTTACGCCAGTCATTTTTGTCTATAATAATTAATTGAAGGAAACTAAAAGAAAATATTTTGCAGAAAGAAATATTATTATTATTTGCTCTGGTCACCACGTCGAATTAGTATACTGTTAGGCAAGTCAATATGGTATTCCATCGACATGATTCTAACAGGGGAATGCGTACATTTGATAAGCTGGAAACATTCTTTTCTTTCTTATTTTCTTTGTTTTTCCCTTTCTTTTTTCTTTGGGGATAACTTGAAGCAGTGATTTCTGCTTGACTTTAAAGGAGCTTTCAACTCTCAAAATGGCATTCAAGAGGTCGAAATCATTAACAAAGATAAAACATACCCATCACCCTCGCCATTTTGAATTTTAACGTACAATGTGTCAAGGACTTCAATAACATCGAAGAAAGGAGAGGCTATCCTTAGGAGGAACAATTTTATAGCAGAGTGCACCATACCATGTGAATTCTTGTATAGGAATCATGAAGCTGAACATGTTCAATACCTTCCAGTTGATTTTCAGTTTTTGACTCAGATCTGTGTCAATTTCATATGGTATAGAATTTAACACCCAAGCATCCTTAATCTACATTGGCTAAATGAGAACTAATGGAAATATGGCCATAAATTAGCAATCCTATAAGTTATCATGCAACCTTTGATGCCAATGGAGCAGTTTAAATACATACAAAGTAGATAATTTACTAACCAGCTTAAATTCGGAATCTGAAATATTCCTTTTGAGATGATTCTGAGCAGCTTTCCTTACATCCAACTCCCTAAACTTCACATTAGCTTTCTTCTGCCGGAAAAGGCTGATGATGAAATTTCTGCATCAAAAGAATTTTAATTAAGCATATGTTCGTAGACCAAAATCAAGTTCTTTTTTCTTGAATCGAGAACTAAGGAAATTCAGAATTTTTCGATAAGAATTTGGTCACACAAGTCATGCGGAAGCAAAGAAGCACCAATGAAGGGGCATACACCATTTAATTATTCTAAAAATCCATGTGTTATGATATTGAAGAGTTCAGGATTTGCTGCATTTAGGCACGCACCTTTACACAAACACGCACATATCAAAAAAAGAAAGAAAAAAAAAGAATCTATAAAAAAGCCACAAAAAATTGGAAGTAATCTGATTACCATGTCCACCCAAATGTAAACATAAAAAGCAATGATTTTTATTTATCTAACCTCAATTCTTTAAGAGCTGGATTCCTTGGGGATTTTAAGACATATACTCCATGTATATTCACAGCAACTTCACTAAGAGCTGATTGTACCTCATGCGTTGCCGCAGTTAAATCTTTGCGAATTGCATCCAATCTGCAACAAGGATACATAATTCTTCATGTTATTTGTGGTAATAAATCAGGAAAATGATTCAAATAAAGGTGGAAAGCAAAGTTCAGAAATAATTCTTAGCTTTAGGATAAAATACGACAACGAAGCTAAATAGACAAAATAATGGAGTGGAACACCATAAAGAAAGCCTAGGTGGATGAAGGTCTTAATTCTTTAGACTAGTAATCATCTTGGAAACATGTCATATGGTTACAATAAAAGATTTTTTATTTTTTCTTCTTCTGCTTCTTCTGTTTGAAAAATGCATAGAAACTACAACTTTGAATCACCGAATTATCAAGCCACAGGCACCGCAGCTCCCCAATTGGAAACAAACAGACGAAATGTGTCTCTCTATCTCTTGTGCAGACCAAATCATCTTAATAGACACCAGAGTGCCAAATCCTATTAAATTTACAAGCCTAGTAAAAAAAATTATGCACATGAATAGCCATCATTCTCTATCTATGATGTAAGTTTGCAAGATTATGAATAAAAATTGAAGAACAGAATATCTAACATATCATGAAAATTTTCAGTTCGTATAAATCAACAGTTACCCAAAGAAAGATAATTTTTTACCAGAACACTGGTCAAAGAGTCCAAATTAATAAATCAAATGAGATTATGAAACCATTATCTATGCACTAGAATTTCTATCTTCTTTGTCACTATAAACCTCTTTTACAGTTAGGATAGCACTAAATAAGTAAATATTATTATATTAATTATAATAAATGAGTACCCACTCACACTGCCCAAAGTATCCATCAAGTTTCAGAATGTCCTATTAGATACGTACCTGATATGTGTACATCTTCTTTCCTGAGGTGTTCATACAAAACAGGTGGTTAAAGGATAAATGCTCTTAAACATTAAAATTGGATTATGTAGTCGCGTGATGAGCAAACAGTTATACTTAGGATAGATTGTTGTGTGTG